ATAGCCCCAATATAGCCCGAATATTCTAAATCTCTAAACGATGTTTGTTGAAGGAAGTTCGAAGCTGATCGGATGGTGGATTACAGTCCGCTCCCCAAAGCTTTGATGCTTATAATTGAGGGGAAATATGCGGGGGAATAAGAAAAAGGGTAGGGGTATACTTTAGGGAAATAGTATGTGATATAATTTGGGGCATAATATGGAAGTATAGTATAGAAGTATAATATAGAAGTGTAATGTAGAAGTATAATATAGAAATATAATATAGAGTATAATAGTTGATGCTACTGCAGCCTCGCTCCTCAATTATACCCCTCTACTACCCAATATATTCCCATACTCGTGCAGGTCGACCTGAACCATCCTCGAAGGGTTTGGACGACAACCCCATCTGTGGCTGCACGGACATCTCAGATCTGGAGATCCTTCTGAGGCCGCTTTTGGCTGGTGCCGAAAGATTGGTAGTTTCCCAATTGGGGGGGACCCAGTATACCCCCCAAAATACAATAGTCCTTATGATTGGGATCCCCAAAAAAGTATGCAACCCCCATCTGATTGCTGGTTGTTCTTTCCAAAAAAGAGGCCATCAGACAAGGCTGGCTTCACGCAGACACCCTCATCAGGTCAAAACCTCAGAAGCTAAGGTTTGAGTTTCTCATTTGCGCAGGCAGCTCCTGTAATTGATGTTAGAAGCTTTCGAATGCCTGAAGTGCTTCGTTGGATCAGTGATGTGTTTGAGCAAATATGTTGTTTGCAGCGAGGTTATAGCGACCCAACCAAGATCTTGCCGGCTTCTCAGAATGTTCTTTCGTGTTTTGGGCAAAACAACGCCCATCTCGTGACTGCTTGCCAGTCTCAGGAAAGGCATCTACAACGTGCTTTTGAGGTCGGGGGCTTGTGATGTCTGTGTTAGTTCCCAGTTTCAAATCGGCTGTCAGGAATCTTGGCGACCTGAGGGAGGCAAGGGCAAAATAATTTCTGCCGTGACCAGGATCATCACACAGCAGGAGTAGCAGCGGAGTGTTGTCAGGGATATTCGCGCTCGCGATCTGTGCAGCCTCAGCTCGGTGAGGACTCTTCACTTCAGACATTCTGACAACATTGACTGAAGTCTCTGGCATCTCTGAAGGATCCGCATGTCATGACCCTTGTGCAGTTCTGGAGCCTTGCGCGAGATGCGGGTGTCCTGACGCCTCGAGCTTTGTGACATGCTGGCAAGGCGAGGCTGATGAGGGGCTGGGCGACACCTGCTCTTGCTTCCGAGGCCTCAAAGCTCCATTGCTCGCTTTGACCGGGCAATCTTCTCCGGTCCCAGGCAGGGTCAAGGCCCGCTATGCTTGCCAGGCTTTTCCAGCAAACATTTCGAAGGCATCAAAGCGAGATGGCACCGGAGGACGAGCAGGCCCGGGCCTGGTGCTGGAGAGATCCCACACAAGTGGTACGCAGATTACAGAAGCTGCAAGGCTTGTCTCAGTGTTGTCGGTGTTTGCAGCGTTTTTTGGCTGTATGTATTTAGTCAGATTGTGTGTTTGGATAAGTTGGACAAGGCTTTGCCGCTGAAGTGAGAGATATTTGGGCGATTGTCGGAGCAAAAGCGGTATGCGAACTGGACAGGAACTCGCAGAAGTTCTTGAGTCATTCGAGAAGATGACCGCCACAATTTCCTTACCAAGGAGAGCATGTACATGCTGCTTGCTTGCGTGCTCACCGAATTGCCGGCAGGAGAGGGTCATCTTCCTCTTCGAAGACCATAGAGGCATCGGTCACCAAATGCTCATGCATGACCCAAAGTCCAAACTGCCCTTGGACTTACTATGCCTTGGTTGCCTCATTGCCGATGCGCAGGCTGATGAAGATGGCATAAGTCAGGACATCGGACAGGGTGTGAACAGCACGTTTCTAAAAGCAACGAAGCAGTGCCTACGTTGCAGTGTTGATGACGGGGCTGCGTTGGAAGGAGGGCAAGGAGCAAGAGTTTTGGGACGAGGCTACGGAGGCTTCCGTGCCTTCAGCATCTCATAATAGCTTCGGAAGGGGCAACATTGGGATGCAGTTCTGAGGGTCGAAAAGCTCCGGAGGTTTACTCCACGAGTAAAGCATGGTATTACGCAACACGACCACAGGCTTAAGGCTCTCAAGTTCTGCAACAAATGTTTCATGGCTTAGGCCCGCGCAGTTTACGCTTAGCTTGACTTTGTGTATCTTACTCAATGCTCCAGGGCTTACCCGCCCATCTTATGCTGTTGGTGTCTTGGACCATTCATTGCAGCATACTCTTAAGACTTTTTGCTTTCAAGTTTATGCCAGAGCAAAGGTCCGCAGGGCCATTTTCCAAATTTCTTCGGTGAGCGGCGGGTTTTGCCGGACATGTTGTATGCGGGTTCTCACGGGGGGTGAAGCATTCGCGCCGATTTGAATAAGCATGAGGGCTGGGCTTGGGCTATCTTTTCCTGGAAGGCTCTCTACGACCTCTTCGAAGCAGGAGGAGGAGACTCAATGCCACAGACCATTGGATTGTAAAATTAAGAGAAATGTCTTCAGCAGCGTCAGGCAGCCAACCTTTGGGAAGGAAGTTCCTGCGTTCCAACGTTGGAGGCAGCAATTAGAAGAATTCCCAAATCTGTTGCCAGAAAGTAAGTGAGAGAGATGTTGGGCGCAGCCGTGGTGACCAGATGGAAACCTGGTGCATATACATGCCCCTGCTCGTCCGCTGCTGCGGGACACCCAAATCTGCACATCTGTCTGCACCTGGTTTTAAACGCGACTGAGGTTCCGGCAGTTCCTGGAGAGCTTCTCGACAAAGAAGTTGTCGTAGCATCGAGCTCGCCTGGAAGTTTGGAGTTGTTTTCAGGCTTTGTGCGCATGGCGCCCATGCGATTTCCCAAAGAGCAGGGCCTGGAGCAGCAGGCCTAGCCCAGACCCCAGCTGCCCTGATGCCTGCGTTCTCTGTTGTGGAGGTCCACCGGCTCTTCAAGGAGCAGGCCCGGATCTGCTTAATCGGCACCCTCTACTTCAACGCTCATTGGCTCCGGGCAGGTGGCACCAGCGCTGAAGACGGTGTCTGGTAGCAAGTCCGAGGGAGGAGGCCCACAACACGGGTGTGATGCAGCTCAGGTTCGAAGCTCTTGACTGCATCCAGGTCTCATAAGCATGCTCGCCAATTTTCGGCGTCCAGCAAGCTCTGCATTCGGACTGTTCACACAGTCGGAGGTGCGGGAAGTGGTTCACGAGGCCACACCTGTGTGTGAAGCTCATTGCTTGTCTGTCTTTGCCTGGCTTGTCGACCCTGCAGTTGGAGCCACAGCTCTGGAAGATCTTTGTGGACCTCTGCGGGGATGCGGGTGCCAAGGAGGCCACAGCAGCCTGACTTTCGAAAGTGCGAGCTTCGGACCTGAAACTCGAGGCAGTGAACGGCATCCAAGGGGGCGGGATCTTCTGCGGCTCCGGCGGGCTCGGAGCGAACCCCTCCAACGCGAGAGACCCAAGCTTCATCAGATGAATATGAAAGTCAAAAAGTTAGTACATGCGAGTTTCGATTGTGTCGTCGATGAGGCTGGCAAGGTCGCTGCATCGCGCCCTGCCGCAAGTAGCAAGTACCTGTACTGCCAACATCTGAGACAAAATTAATGCGATGCAGCTATTAAGGACTGACGCAACAGGCTCCGCTTCTTGCTGTTGAGCCGCAAAGTTTGCTTCAAGAAACAGCTGGCTCTGCTTCTCAGGGTTGCAAGAAAAGCCGCAGGCACAGATGTGGATGAGAGTGCGCAACATGTACTAAACTGAGCCGCGTGTCCTGGCCAGGAGCCTTCCAGCTTGGCTTCTGAGGCAGGGGCATTTGCCAACTGCCATCAAATGCCATCAGTACACTTTCCCCGACATAGGGAACCCCATTCTGAAACTCTATAAGATATCCTTCATTATAAGGACCACCAAAAAATGTCCCCCTTACTGTATATAGGAAACTGCCATAGGGTCTGTGCAGGTGCCTCGAATCTGGGGCTCACCTCTGCGTGATTTACATGTGCCCTGGCCAAGCACAAATTGCAGATTCCTGGGGTTCGGGGTTCAGGGTTTTAGGGGTTTAGGGTTCAGACATGTTTACCCAGTGCCAAGTAGAATAGCTATTTGTCATTTGATTCATTTTCCTCCTGGCCATTATGCAGTCATTCTGTCACTTCATCAACAACTGCGTTCCTGCTGCGTGTGGAAACATGGAACACTCGACGCGCGCCCCCGGCTATCATGCCCAAGGTACGGGCGAGGTTGAACGTCAGCCTCCGCATCAAGGCTGGGAACCATATAGGGGTTGTATAGCGGGTATAATGTGGGGTTTAGGGATATTACCTCTTATAAGAGTGTAGAATCAAAGCCAAGTATATTGTAGTATATTTTAGTATATAGTATAGTATAGTACAGTATATTATAGTCCTCAACGTGCTGGTCAGCAGGATGTGCTGAGATTTCTCCACTCCCTGGGCTTCTTGCAGAACACTTTGCGAGGGCCCAATCTTACCTTTGGTTTTCTGGGAATGAAGGCATGCCAAAGAAATGGAGACCACTATTTAGGGTGTTGGGTTTAGGGTACGTGATTTGGGGTTTAGGGTTTAGGTTTTAGGAGGAATGGAAAAGAAAATGGAAACCACTATGATGGGCTGTATGCAGACTAGAAGGATTCATTCCTTCATTCCTAGCTGACCAAAGATAAGCAATCGCATGTTGCAGTGAGGTTCGCTGAATGCACACTGACATTTCCATTGTGCAGCTGTGGCAAAATTTCTTGTTTTGCCAAGGGTCCTGAAGGACCAGTACAGACCGCTGACTGAAGCAAAGGACTCAACAAGCAGTACAAGTAACAATTCAAGTCATTGGGCCCAGCATGGCTACTCGTGCTCAAAGAATCCTCAGGTGCTTTCAGGTGCAGAGGGGGATGCCGTCAACAACCTCCTCAGCGAAGTTCTTGGATTCTGTATCTCCATGCTGCACAGCAGCCTCAAGTCTCCATGGAGCACCCGCGATGCTTCCAAGATCCCTTGGGCAGTGGTCTGTCGCAAGAAGAGCCTCCAGAGGAAGAGAATCCCAGCGAGGAGCGGCTGCTAGAGCATGACGCATGTTGAAGCATGTTGAGAAAAGCTGACTAAAAACATATCATCATGTACCTATAATATACCTATAACGTATACCTTTAATGTACCTGTGATATATCTATAGTAGACTTCAGTAGCTTTCGAGGATGATGAGGGATCTGGCGGCAGCGCGGCGCCTGAGGAAGATGAGGCTGTCTCCAGGGGGCAGGGCAGATGAGCTATAGTCTAAATTTTTTGAAGAGGGGTTATATGGGGGATCATATAGGGGGATATAGGAGCTATATAGGGTTTAGGGTTCAGGGCTTAGGGTCTCAGCTCCTTGGATATATGGGGGATCATATAGGGGACTATTAGGGGGGTTATTGAGGAGGCTACGAGGAGTTGAGATTATAGCTCAGCTGGTAATGTTGAGGGGGGCTCTTGGTAGGACGTGGGCACCAAGCAGCTGCCTGGACTTTCCATCAGTTTCATGCCGAAGGGCTCGCTGCTAGGCAGGGATGATCTGCTACTATAATCTATTATAATAAACCATAGAATACTATTATATACATATATATATATATATTAAAATGTAGTATATTGAACTATAGTATATTAGAAGATACTATAATATCTCTAAACATATTTTATTTTACCATAATATACTATAATAAGCCACAATATACAATCGAAGGATCAATTACTCTCCACAGGCGGCAGCGCCAAGGACGAAAAGAAGAGGAAGGACAAGGCTTGCCGACAGAGTTGCATGTGCACCGAGAACCATTTGTTCGTTGCCGGATTCAAGGACAAGAAGGATAAGAAGGAAGAGAAGGAAGTCCGCACTCCAGCGGAAGACCTGGCCTGCATCAACTTGATGATCGATATCGTTGAAGTCCTGAGAATTCTCTCGCAGGACCGGTTTTCAAAGTATATGCCTGTCCGGTGCCGCCTGCACTGTCTACACACGCCTTGCAGGTGTTCTCACCCTCTGTTATGGAGACGCTGCACTGGGAGTGTTATGCCAAGAGCTACTAATGCACAGTATGAGCAGTAAGCAAATTTCAAATAGTTCTCTAAACCGAGGTTGGACAACATGAAGGAGGCGCCTTGTTCATTGCCTTGGCATGTCTTGGGCGCGCGCTTGAGCGCGTCCGTATCAATTCCAGGATCGTGGCAGGGAGAAGTTGTCATGTTGTGCTACGAACTCTTGAGACAAGGCAATATTAGAATCCCGCACCTCTGTGTTGTCCAGTTCATTATTGACTGCATGCTACCTTCTGTACTCAGTACACACAATTGTGAACGCATGAGGGCTCCGATTTCCTCAGATGAGATGTGTTCCTTGGTAGCTTGGGGCTGTTTGCAAGTCTGTGCAACCTGTGAGACATTGAAGTGGCTTGGGAGGATTAGGATTGTGAAGGCTTACCTTGCCTTTGATGAGGCATTGCTTCCTTCGTGCGGTTCTTTCCCAAACCATCTGCACGCAACAGCTGGACAAAGCCGTAAGCAGGTCAACGGGTTGGACGAGAACATGTCCATTCTGGAGCCCTTGGCTCACGGTGCATGTGGTGTCAAAACGAGGCTTGGGTAAGGAAGCACAGAAACGGGATCCTTTGATGCAAGGTTCATGGAGACCGAAGTTGTTTTCGTGGCTGAGCTCAGCTATTCTGACAAAGCAGCTGAACTGCCTTGGACAGTTGACAGCTAAGGCTGAGTTCATGCGACTTCTTGTCCCAGCCTCAGCGCAAGTCTACCGGTCAGAATCCAGAGTACGTTGCTGGACTTTGCAAAACGTTCCACCGAGTTTCTCATGGCCGAGCTCACTACGCGGCGGGACTACAAGTTTGGGGCCCATTTTCAGACTGCACTGCTCAGGGAGCTTGAAACCCGAAAGGTTCTGCCGGAGCGTGTCGTTGACCACTCGGCTTGATGTTTTCCTGAAGAACGCTTTCCGGCAGCAGTCAGACCAGATGTTGCGATCCAGGACGCAGAATCCTTGAGTTTGAAGGTCATCTCCTTCTGCCAAAGAGGCGGCAAGTACTTGCCACCCGAAACCTCGGCGCCAACCACCGGCCAAAACCTTGGCCAGTGCCGCTTTAAGGAAGCCCATCATGGGGTTACCTGCGGCAAGCGGGTCCGCTCAGGTGAAAGCCGGAAGAACAGCTCTCGCCCGGATGCTGGCAACTCAGAAGTGACAGGGGTTGCGCTTTGCTGTTATGACCTTCTGGGGGTGAGGCGCGGGCGGAAGACCCACAGCCCGATGCCGCCCAAGGCAGGTGCTGGAAGTTTTGATGTGTGTGAGTGGTAAAGCTGTGCCAGGACCTGGCGGTCCTGGGAGCTCGGAGCGCAAGGAAGAGGAGGCCTGAAGCCACGATAGAGATAAATCATGACCTGAGTATGGCAGAGGCCGGACAATGGCTGGGCTTTGATGTTGAGGGCGACAGCTATGCCCCGCGGAGGTCCGCAAGTTTCTTCTCAAAAGGTGGCACAAAGCATTAGCAGCTTGCTTCGGATCTGCTCGAGAAAGGTGGCCGGATGGCTACGAGGATGAGGTTGAAGACTGGTGAATTCACAGCTAGTCTCTTGTTTCACGTGTACATCTCACCGATATGTTTCACCTGCAAGTCTCACACCAATAAGTAGGCTGATCAGCATCAAGTGGTAATGTTGGATCTACATATCTACATGAGTCAAGCGACAAAGCAGCTTCGGAATTTAAGAAGCATTCATAAGCATACAGTGATCTGTCAAAGGCAGCTTGAAAAATCTGGTGCCGTTGTCAGGAACGGGCTCATTCAGCCTTGAAGATTTTCGATGCGCTGCAGCAATCCTTTGCTTGACTCAATGTTGTTGGCTTCGATGCCCTGCAAGGGCAGCACTGCAACTTCCCCAACAGTGTCCCGAGTGACATGTTGAGCTATGGATGCAGGTATCTGACCCTTCGAGAAGCGCTGCATCAGCGCGCGGAGAGCCATGTCCCTGAGAAAGTGGCTTGGGAGGTGCCGGTGCAGTGGCAAAGGTGCAGAAGAGGCCTGTTGGGCTCGGCCTCGGCCATTCGACTTTGCAGAAGCAGGGCGCGTTGCAGGTGCAACAGGCAGAGCAGGCAGGAGGTGATGAGCGGAGCCCAGACCGAGGAGTCCCTGGAAGCTCAGAGAGGGACCTGGAAGGAAATGCTCGAAGCCATCCAAGCAGTACTGCAACCAATGATGAGTGCGAGGCGACTGGACAAGGCAAGACAGGTTCTGCAAAAGAGAACCCAAGCCGTCCGATTTGTGTTTTGCTGGCAAAAGCCTGCGGACGTATCTGCAGCGCTTCGGACCATGGATCAGTTTGCTCTGCAGTTTGCCGAGATCGTTGGGGACGGTGGGCTTCTGCTGGGTGATACATCTGGTGGATCTAGGAATTTCTTGACTGTACGTGAATGGCCGGACGTGGAGAGCTGCTGCCAGTCCTTGCGCAAGGCGGGCGAGAGGAAGAAAGTTTTGAGTTTGGAGAAACGTTTTGAGGCCACCTGGCCATTCAACCCCAATATGCTATAGCAGCTTCCATTGTCTATCCCTATGTAACTTCCAGGCGGGTCACATCTGCCTATGTCTTCGAACTGGCCTTCGTGATCAACATGTCGGCCAGCTGCAGGCCCACGTTGCTATTGTTGTTTTTTGATCGTTGGTGTTTGGCCTGGCCAGACCGCGCTTGAATCCATCGCTGCCTCGAATTTGCCTCAGACAGATGGCTTTCTATTCATCTGTGCCTTCTTGGCTGTCATCTAGGACAGCATCGCCTAAGCTCGCCGTTTTCATTGTGGCGGAGGATGCTGAACATCAGCAGGAGCTTGCTGGGGATCATTCATCCTGAAGTGCAAATTTGCATTGTCAGGATGTCCTTGAGCAATTCGATCTACAGGTGTTTGTCCGAGCTTCATTGCTCGCCCTTCGCATCTGCTGTTGTTAGATAAACTGCTGCTCAGGTTGCATTGCCACTCCGTGGTTTCGCATCTTCCTTGTCCCTCAACGTTGCAGTTGCCATGGTCCTTGCCCGCCTCAGGCTGGCCGGGACGTGTCTTGCTAAATATTAACAGCAGCTGCCCTGATAATCATGCCATGCCTTGTGCGCTCATGGACCATGGTTTTCTTGTCAGAGGTCGCGTGCAGGCTGAAGTCAGGCGTCTCCTCGAGCACAAACCGATGCAAGTCTCTCTCTCTCTCTCTCTCTCTCTCTCTCGAAACGCAAGCACTCGCGATGCCGATCACAAAAGACAAAGCCTCTGGCTCCCTCTGCCGTCTTTTGAACTGGGTGTTGAGGTTATCGGCATGCGCCTTACTGAGACAGGCTTCGGGTTGGGAGTCGCTTTTAAGAGCTTCAGAAGATGTGCTGCGCAGGGTCGCTGTAGAGTGCCGATGACAAACATGGTTGGGGCATGCAGGAAGTATGTTTGACAAAATGCCGCAGCAATGGCAAGAAAAGACGGTCAATAGCAGCAATAATACTGGATGCGCAATCTGCAGCCCAGGCACAGATTCGTCCATTCCAGCAAAGGTTGTTTCCTTTCCATGGTTAGAAGCATGCTGTTAAAGCGCGCTTGCTTGGCTCTGATTGAGCCGCTCTCCCCACTCGCAGCACAACACAGGCGGACCATCGAAGGAAGGATGCGGCATGACAATCACTGCTTGCGATTGGCAAAAAGCAGAAGGCAGGACACAAATGGCGCAAGCGAAGGATGTCGAGTGTACCGCGAGGGCCCATATTACCGCCTTTGAACATACTACAGCGGGCCAGGATTGTGTTGCTCCCTTGGAGCCACACGCACCTTATAAGGACACTGCTCAGCGGCGGCTTCCGGCTTCGATGGAAACAGCTCTTTCTGCAAGAGTGAACTCACGCAAAGGATCTTCTAAAACGCCCTGGCGGCCACTTTGAATTCTTGTGCAATTTGGAGCTAGACTCGACTTCTGCGGTGAAGCCAGGCAGTTTTCCTGAATTGTCTCAGCAGGTCCATGGGTTTACTGCAAGGGCATCCGCTGTCTTCGAGGCAGCGGGACCTGCTCGGGACCTCGGAAAGTCCATGCTTGCGAGATTTTGTGTTACCGGACTTATGTCCAAGGCTTTGGACCCAGTGGCTCATGCAGCTTCATGGCCGCGAGAGTTCTGCAGCACTTCTGCAGGAAAAAGGCTGGTACTGCAGGAGTTTTGTGTGAGATGGGACAAGGAGCTTCTGGCTGGAAGGCCTCCCGTGGCAGCTTGCGCTCCAGCCGGTGTCAAAAAGCAGCTCTTTGGAAAGGAACTGTCTGTCATCCATCGCACAGCGCACAACAGCTGATGGACACTTCCGCCGCAACACCCCGCCGGCCAGCTTTTTAATTCAGTGCACCTTGGCAACAGACACCTGTGAAGACTAATCCCTATCCTGCCACCACGTGCAGAGCTTCACTGTCTTTAAACAAGCGCTCTTTTTTGCGTTTCTTGTTTCCTTTACCAACCGCCACCGTCTGAATGAATGATGTGTGTATCAGACCGACACAGATGTTAGCAAGAAGTGCCTATCATGATGAACTGCCTATGACATGGCGAGAGTGCTGTTGGCCACCGCTGTGCTCGTCGATGGTCCGCTGGCGGCAGAAGGCCGGCTGCACCAAAGACAATGAGACAAAAGCATGACCTGGAGAAACAAGCATACACAGGATGCTGCTGCGGAGCGCCGGCCTAAGTTTCCATGTAGGAAATACAGTACCGTGAGCGGCTATAGGGTGCAATCCCCAAGCAGCGTAGAGCCTTTGAGGTGTGGACGGAGGCATACTGGCAAGAAAACAATAAATCTGCTGATGAAAGAGAAGGTGTGTTTCAGGTCGCTGGCTGAGATTGGTTCATGGTAGTTGCTACTGCAGAGCTCATCAAGCACCAAGTAACAGCAGCAAGGAGAAGTTGAAGACTTTTCCGAACAGGATGGTGTCACGATGGATGCCATGCAGCATGTTTCATGTGCTCTGGCTTGCAGGACCTCAACGGCTCTGATGCAAGAGAGGCAGGATCCAGCATGGATGTTTTGGAGATTCCCCTGACTTGCTCCAGTCCCTGCCCTGGCAGGCTGCTGAGCTATGAGTGCCCTTACGGGAGTGCTTTGCAACCTGGCCGAATTTGGCTGGAGCTGTCAAGCTTTTGAGTTGATGCATTTTGCGCGTTGCAGGCCGCTCGACGTGACGTGGCCAATAGTGCCTGAGGGTTTAGAAGATTTGGTGGAACCGTTTACCCTCCTCAAGTTCTTTGCTGTCGTAGGGGACCCAGCCCCATCACAAGTTAGACTTCTTTCCGATTGGACTTCTGTTCGTTTTTTTCAGGTGTACGCCTACCTCCCGTGGGTTCCAGCAACTTGGCGAATCACAGTGTGAGTTTAGACAAGTTGCGGCTGCACGAATCCCCCTCAGCCTTTTTCGGAACGAGACAAATTCTCACGGTTTTCAGACATACGCAAACATGGTGACAACACGAAGGCTTGACAGCTCGCAGTCTTTTGCATGTGAAGGGATTACAACTGGCATCCCCCATGCTGGAGCGAAGCCTGCGGCAGAAGGGCGGTCGCGCACACCCGTGGCTGCATAGATCCGTGATCTCATGCTCTGTGATTGCCTGCTGCTTTTCCCGGCTGATGTCTAGCATGGCCTGGACTCAGAGTGTTGGCCAACACTTCGGCCAGCATTTACATCACGGTCGGACGGCCTGCGCTGCCAAGGGGTTGCCTCCACCAACCAGAATTTGTTTGGCTTTCCTACCCTTTGCATGAGTTGCTACATGATACTTTCCCAAGATAGGGGGAACCCAATACAGACCCTAAAATACTATAAACCTTCCTATGGGGACCCCCAAAAGGGTACCATTAATGTTGGGAATCCCACACGTCGTTTTGGATGGCCTCAACCAGGTTTGGAGCCGACGGGTCCAAGTCCAAGTCCAAGCCCACGGTCTGCCCTTGCCTCTCGGGGATGCCGTACAAGGATTGCTGCCGCAAATGCCACAAGGACAGCTAAGCCCTAACCCTAAACCCCAAACCCTAGGTAACCCTATGGAAACCTAGAAACCCCTCTCTAACCCCAATATATAGTAGTTTCCATTTTCTTTTCCATTATCCCCAATATACTATATAACCCCAATATAACCCCAATATAACCCCTATATAATCCCTATATAACCCCTGTAGTTTCCATTTTCTTTTCCATTATCCTAATTTGACCTGGGGAGATCTGGGAGGAGGGGAGCAGCTCCCAGCAGTCTGAGGACCCGACTCTGGCTACATCAGAACAGATGGCCAGGGCAAGGTTCTCGGCACTTGCCCTGAAGAAGTACGACTTCCTCTTGGCCACTCAGAGAACTTAATATACAATTATATACTACAATATATTATAATATAGCATAATTTAATATTGTGTAATATAATATAGTATAAAGGGTGCATCGAAGTCCTGCCTCCTTTTTTCGATTTGGCGGAAATCCAAGGACACAACCCATTCGACGCATGCAGACTTCAAGGAACTTGAGCAGAAAGCTTCCATGTTTCTGCCTGCAGTGTCCCTGCTGACGGTCAGGTGGATAGAGAGGCCTGGAAGAAGCAGATATCACGCAACAACAAGGGATTTCGCTATGTCGGCCTCAATGTGACAAAGGCAGAAGAGCGTGACGAGGAAGATTCCGTGCCTTCACACACTTCCATTTGTGTCGGGGCAATTCAGAGGTAAGGCTTCTGCATCTACCGAATTAGAGCGGTTGACCTGACAAAAACTCTGTTTCGCAGGAGACGTATGCAGTGACGATTGAGGCTGCAGCAGAGCCTGAGAAAGTCTCGGATGTCCCCAAGGCCAGGAGTAGTCGCTGACATGCATTGCGGCGGTGCCATGGAACCTGTCACGCATCATCGCTAACGAGCCCTGGTCAGCTACACTGCTCCCAAGATTTTGAACACCCAACTATTCGTGCTGTGGATTAGGTATTCGTGCACGACCCTGAATACCGCATACCTTGTCTCTCAGACACAGCAGGAGCCTAATTTGTGCAAGATTTCCTACATCCAAATCGTCACACCGAAGGAAGCATGTTGACCCATGTTCCGTGGAATCTATAGACTCCTTGTGAATTCATCTTGGCTGCTGTTAAGGAACTGTGCTCAGTTTACCACAATATGGACACATAGTAAACGAGTGGGTTCCTCACAATGATAATGGTAGCTTCCTTCGAGCTCTTTGACAGTCTGACATCAGCCCGGATGATCTGCCTGCAGCTTTTGGCCTGGGAGTGTTGAGAACAGGTGCTGCTCATGAGCGAATGCTCTGTATACAAAAAGGAAGATCAGATTTGGAAGTACGTGGTAGCAGAGGACATGAAGAGGGAGGCCTGCCAATTATTCTTATTACTATTGTTGCTATTATGACTATTGCTTTTATTTCAATTGCTACTATTCTTATTGCTAGTTTATAGCTTGGTACTTCTTACTCGTTTATAACTTGGTACTTCAGAGCTTGGTTTTGGAATTCTTCGTAGTTTGTTGATTGATGCCCTGCAAGGTCGTGGAAGGGGCTGGATCTGCAAGGCAGTTGGCTGGTCATTGATCACAAAGCCTTGCGGAGAAGTGGCAGATCTGCGCAAGATTCAGCAAGACGCATGGGAGCAGCTGAGCCAGCGAAAGCCCGCAGAAGAACTGGCTTTGTGGAGAGCACTCAGAGCTCTACCCTTCCGCGGAGACGGTCCTGGCCATCCCCGAACATCGACTGAGCCCCATGGCCCTGGAAGTTCTGAGATGCGGAATGAAGCCTACATTTGAAGCGGAAGGAAGCGCCTTCCCGCAACGCGCGACGTTGGAGTTGTCTTTGCAAAGCAGCAAAAAGGGCCAGCACTTAGACAGGATGCCCACAATAGTAAAGGACCTGTTGCATCCGGCAGGCATCTACTCAAGTAGCAGGCATATTGCGTGCAATGCAGACCGCCTTCCCATCCAAGGTGTTCTTTGTGATCGCTGACTTTTGCATCTGCCGTGGCACAAGCTTACGGCTGAGATCTCCTTGAGGGAATGGCAGGAATAAGTGCTTGAATCGTGGAGCTGACAACCTGCAAGGACAGCTCTGGATCTTGCTTTGGTTAGGGATGCTGATCAGTGTCAACGAGGCCTTACCCGAGACTCAGCAGTGAGAGCCGCAGCTCCTCACGGATCATGCTGACGCAGGGAGTGGTCAAACGATTGTTTGCTGAACCTCGGCCCGGCAGCTCCGCACCCAGGTCCAGCTTGATACACAAACGATGGGGCCGTTTGTGTGGCTATTTGCAAGCCTTTGGCCTATAATCCCTATATATACCACCCTAGTAGTTGCCATTTTCTTTTCCATTATCCCCAATATACTATATAACACCTATATAACCCCCATATAACCCCTATATACTCCTTACATAACCCCTGTAGTTTCCATTTTCTTTTCCATTATCCCCCGATATAACCCCAATTGGCAGCACCAAGGCATGCTCGAGCTGCGAGGAGAACATGGCCGTCTGCAAGGATCCTGCATAAAGACATGCGGGATGCCCTCCAGTCACTCCGTGGCTGGGCTCTTCTCGTGAAGTCCTGCTGAACTTGTACAGAGGAATGGATCCCTACAGTGGCCCCTATACAATCATATTGGGTTTAGTTTAGGGTTCTATTAGGGTCGTATTGGGGTTATACTGGGGTTATATTAGGACTATCTTGGGGTTATGCAATTCCCAAGAATTTAGTTGTGTCAGTCTTCTTTTCGGTTCCTTCATTACCCACCACCAGCCAGTAATGAAGGGCTGCCCGCCCAGGCAATTGCCATGGGTTGGTTCTCACTGTGCGTGTCCCAGCTTTTGTGTAAAAGCGTACATTTGGGAATGCAGGAGCGACCCAAGGTCGATTCTTGATGCGACTTGCAGGACTCACCTCGGCCGTGCACTTAGCGCAATGCAGGACAGTCACGGACTCACAGCTTTTTTCCGCGATCTGCACAAGGCTCAGCACGACAAGCTACAGGAGGCATTGGGATGGAATCGGAGCATTCTGGAGAGCAATCTCGCCTTGATTCGAGGCATTACCCGTACTCAATCTCTTCTGATGGCGGAGCAACAAAAGATCATCGATTTCATGAAGACTCTTGGCATCTCCACAGAGATTGCTCAGGGTACTTTAGAGACTGCGTGTCTTCTTGTTCAATGCCTGCACGTTCTGCTTGCCTACACTTGCCCACTTGCATGACACGAAGAAACTGAGGAACTTCTGCAGCTTGGCATACGAAGATGTCTCAGCTGCCACTAGGCTTAGATGTGAGCAGCTTAGGTCTCGTTCCCTGGGTCAAGAAGGATGTGCTAAACGTGCAAGAGTTTATTTCATTCGTCACTTGGCAGCATTTTGAGCCGAGCAGACTGCCGCCTCGAGAGACTTGTCAATCCAAGCTTTCTGCCTACAACGGTGGCTTTCAGAGCGACAAATGAACTCAGGGCGTAGCGTGTCACGGATGTTTTGGGGAAGAACAGTCTCGAGATTTCATAGGAACCCCTCAAACTATCCCATGCAATGTGCTTGGACCGATGTGGCACTTGCCGGAGGGAATCTCTACGAGGGCGCGCATCCAATTTTCAAAGGGACGCAAAAGCACTATCCAGAAGAACTGGCTAGTTCTGGAAATCACTCTACAATCTCTTTTGCAGTTAGCCATCCAGAACAACCAACCTGAACAAACGTGCCGAGACGGGAATCAGCAAAAAAAAGGCATAGTGCTGCGCAAGGATTCTACAGTTTCCAACAGGCTGTCCACACTACCTGCTTTTAAGCAAACTCATGGTCGCAAAGTCCTCGAAACTGAAAAAGAGCGATTCGGTCACGGGTACATGAGAAGTGAAAGCGCTTGCTGTTGCCTTGCTCTGGAAGTCTTGCTATCTAAGGGGCTCTTCTGGTTCTTCCTCATGGTGCCAGCCCCTTTTCTTGGATGTTGTTGCCACGACTTCGTTTGTGACAGCTTCTTTGGAGCTTCAGCGGGACATGCTTGATAGGTGCCTGTTCCATTCATGCGAGTGGTCCTATGTGATCACACTCCAAACCAGGCCGCCGATTTCCGCCAATCGTCGCAGGGAGAGCTGGGATTTTGCAGTATGCCAATATGACCCCAATGTACAGTAGTTTCCATTTCTATTTTCCATTATACCGATACAACCCTAAAATTTTAGGTAGTTTCCGTTTTATTTTCCATTATCCCAATACAGCCCCAATACAACGTGGTCAGGCTGCCATTGGCTCTGTGGTGGGTCTGTTGCTGGCCTTGCTCTGGTGGCGAGCCGTGCGAGTGCTTCAGCGCAGGCTCCGAGGGAGCTTTGTTGTTCCCGGGGTCTCTGCAGCCAGCCTGACCGCAGCGGTAAACGCATCAGGTTCCAATCGTTGGAAGGCCGTCAGATTTGCTATGGCCTGTTACGTCAGTGCCTCTAGAGGAACACAACCTCTTGATTTCTTGCCCAGTATTTGGGATGCGAGGTCACGATTACTTCCTTCCTGTTCCTGAGCATGAGGAGCTGGCGCAGAGGCAGGAAAGCGAGCTTGGTGTTGAAGGATAGGGCCAGTCTTTGGCGCCAGGCAGCAGCTGGAATTGGGTCAGACATGCCCGCCCAATGTGCGCACATTCTGAAAAAGTGCTCTTCTTTGCGTTATTCTTTGCCTTGGCAGCTTTTGCTGAATCACAAGGTAGTAGGTGGTTTGCCAAGAAGATTTTTGAACATATTCAAGTACCAATGGCAGGGCAGCAAAGTAAACAAGTCGGCGAACCGATCCCAAACAGTTCCTGGCATTTGTGCTTCTTCTATCAGCCTCCAAACATCCCGCAGCCTCCCTCTGCTCCCTTCTGTTTGGTCATCCTCAGCAGGAAGCTACCCATTTTCAATTGGCTGCTTGCTGAGAGCCAAGAATAGTTGTAGTTGTCCTCAAATGCTGGAGCATCTTCTTTGGCTTCTTCTCCATTGCTGTTCTTTTTTCTACTGGCTGGGGTGACTGGGTGGTTGCTTCTGACAATACAGCATGATTCAACAGGAACGAACAAATGCTGGACGTCGGAGGGGCAGTGGAAGAGATGATGCACCAACACTTGCAGTCCAGATCACAACAGAAGCTTGTTGTGGCAGCTATGACTATGAGTATGAAGATAGTTGTACTTGCTGGAGGGAAGTTAAATTGGTGACCTATGCAGACCGCTGAGCTACACTTGCTTTGGAAACCTTGTATAGTGGACATCGTGCAGTGGATGCACTGGAGCTGCTGCTTTCCTGCTCAGAGATGCTCCTGGCAAGCGGTGATCTCAATGTTTACTGGTCTTGCTCTTCAGGGCTCCTGTCTTGATCATGTGCCATGTGTACCTCAGTCCTTGCCTCGCTGAGCATCGCGACATTGAAAGAGCCTTGAGAGTGTCTGCGTGCCTGGAACTACTTCCACGATCCGAGGCCCTGCAATGATCCCGTAGATCCTTTCTATCCGCCACTGCTGAAGTCGTCCGGCACGGCATCAACTCAGACTCGCACATCAGGGTTTAACAGGCCACCCTGATATCCCTTGAATCACTGTGTGGCTTGCTTGCTGCTTGGTTTCCGCCCACGGAACTGTTGTTGCGGGAGCGTGTTTGCACCACTTGGGTCACGCATTGCGATTTTGCCAAGTTCTTCTTTTCGTTGTCTCAGGACACCATGCAACCGGAACCAGTCTGATGCTTTTGTGAAGCTTAAAGCGTTCTATCCGGAGATGGCACTGAGTCAGTGCGTTTTCATAAGGGCTCAGGCCAACCAACAAAGTTGAATCAGAGGACGTGGAATATTCTGCTTCTATATGCTGCCGTGGATGCGAACACGGATGCGGAATGGTTCTGCCGCTTGGAATGGATGCTGATTTTGTTGTAGGGAATTTGCTGGGACATATCCAGCGACACCGTCTGCATCCGGATGACAACGACTACCTTTTGGTCAGCTCCAGTGAACCAAGAAGGCGAGCGAGAATCAAAAGCACAGATTCATAACGACTCTGACAAACTTGAACATCTCAGCACTTGTTCTCACAACGCTGGCCCAAAACCATGGGTCAAAGGTATGTAGGGGCGAACGATAGTTGTGTTCGTTTCGCTGCACCTCATTGGTGCTGCTCAACTCCTTTTCTTTCTTGAGCTTTTGACAGATGTGAACACGAGAGTTCCAAGGCCTTTCTGGCTTCAGCTGAACTATGCCCATGGCTTGGGTAATTATCGGGACTTGCATGGCCTAACTTCACATGGCGCAACTTGCAAAAAGCTTCTGCTAGGAACAGAGCCCAAACCTGCAATAGAAGCTGTCACTAGCCCGAACTTCAGATGCTGCAGTGCGAGTGAGCGATATTTGAAGTTCTATAGTGGTAGAACTGCTGTTGAGCATTCTGCAGATACCACAGGAAACAAACTGTCAAACTGTCCAATGCTAATGTCGTCTTGACTCTGCCCTTTTGAACTGGATGACGGAGCGGACCTCGATCGACCTCAGAGCTGCGGTGCACAGCCTGCAGAAGGCGCTTCCAATCAGCTCTCGCATGTAGTCACACCGTAAAGCCTTGTTGTGAAGGGCTGTGGAGATCAGGATGTCGACTCGAAAGCTACGACCATCAAGCACCTGCAAAGTGCCCTCGAAGCCAAGTCCCAGACGATCAACATCTTGCACCTGGGCTGAAATGCACGCCTGGTCTTCTGCATGGTGACTTATGAGACATGAGGTCCAAGGCCAACAAGAGCCAAAACAAAGATGGCGCCGGTTCTCTGGAGACCTATATCGATGAGGCCTGCTCATAGCTGCTGCTAGCTAAACAGCTGAAACATTTTCCCTTCACGTGGCTAGGCTGTGGAGGAAAGGTCTCGCAGCAAGCTTGCAGCAAAGGATGAAGAGGTGCTTCTTTGCTGTTTTTGTGTTGCTTGAGGGCGTGGGAAGGGGTGACATCCGGGGCGCAGGTGAATCGCTTGATGGAGTTGCTCCATGATCTGGAGGAGCGCCAGAGCGTGCCGGTACCCGCAGAGCCTGCTTCAGGCGAGCTGGAACAGGCAGAGCAAGTGACGCAATTGCGCGCAGAGCTGGAGGATCTACGCCGCAGCACAGTGCCCTTGCAGGAAGTTGAGGCCTTGCAAGCGGAGCGCAGCCAATTGGCAGAACAGCTTCAGGCCCAAAAGCAGCAGGCACAGCAGCAGGCACAGCAGCTGAGCCAGTTCCGCGAGTACCAGTCCAAAGCGTTTGAGCTCAAGTCTGCCAACGACGCTCTGAGCGAGCAGCTTGAGGCTGTTAACGAGGAGATCCAGCAAATGCAGGCAGAGCACAAAGAGGAGGTGGAGGAGCTGCAAAAGGCTTTGTCTACTTTGCAAAGCGATCGGCAGGCCCATCACCAGGCTGTGGCCGCTCAAATTGATGCCAAGGTGAAAGAAATCCGGCTGTCATTGGAAAATGAGAGGTCCAGCATAGAGCAAGAGCTTCAAGATGCAAAGGAGAATGCACGCGTTCAGCTTGACGCTGTCTCAGCGGAGCGAGATCGCTTGCAGCTGAGAGTGCATGCGCAAGAAGTTGAAGTGCAGGCTTTGAGAGACGTTGTAGGGGATGGCAAGGAAGCTCAAAAGGTAGAGCAGGCAGAGCAACCTGAGCTAGAGCAGTCCGAGCCACGGCTTCAGCAGGTGGAAAGAGCCAAAGCCTTGCGAGAGCAGAGCCAGTTCGCTTTCGATGAGATGACGAGACATTTAACAGAAATACGCGAGGCAGGAGAAACGGAGCGGAAGCGTTTGCAAGCGGATCTCGACCAGCAGCTCAAGCAGCGCGCAGCTGTTTTGCTGGAAGTGCAGAATGAGAGGGACAGCCTACAGACGCAGGCAGAGGCCCTGGAACAAGCGAACAAAGCAGTGTCCCTGCAGCGGGACGAGCTTGCCCGACAGCTGCGCGAAAAAGAACGTACCAACCAAGAGCTCAGTGACGAGCTTGAGGAGACGCTGGAGCAGCAGAAGACGCAGCAGCAGAGATACGGAGTCCTTTCCCTGGTCCATGCTCTTCAGCGCAGTACTGTTTTGCCCGCCTTCTCTCTGCTCCGCAGGGCTCTCAGCCATGTTGATATGGCGGAAGCTAGCAATTCTCCGGACAGCCACAAGCTGGCTGTCTTCAGCAATATTGAGGATGTTGATTCACTGGTGGATACCTCCACGGGTGATGCCGGCATGGACGACTTAGCAGAGGATACGAGCCCTGACGCAAGTGATGATGAGCCAGATGAGGCCTATGGTACAGACGATAAGAGCCAGCTGGAATGGGCAGAGATGATGAAGGCAAACACCTTCGAATCTCTTTTCATTGGAGCGGAAACCGTCAATGAGAATGCGGCCGCCGCCTCCGGAGAGTTGCAAGAGCATGTAGCCAACATCATGACTTCCTTGGATTTTTTCCCGCAGATGTACGCAACACTGATGCAGGAGCTAGACAGAAGGGGGTTTGGAAAGGAGCTGCGGAAGTTCTTGCTTCTCATGCAGAGGGCCATAGGGCGGTCCGTCCGTTTGGCCAACACAATAGCCGAGCTTGTCGAGAAACATAAGCATGTAAGCGGGAGCCTTAAGAATTTGCTGCGAAGCAAATACCTGGAGTGGCATGTCAAAAGCCTTCGTATTTCAGGGCAGCACGAGGTGCTTCTGCGCTTCCAGAAGAACCAGATGGCAGCGCTCAAAGCCGATTACGACGATGTCCTTGATCAGTATGGAGACCAATGCGAGCAGAACAGGCAGGTCAAGCAGCAAGTTCAAGATTTGCAAGCTCGGCTTGAAGCTGCCAGTGACGCCACTTCGCGCAATGAAACGCTGCAGAAGGACTTGCGTGAGGCTCGCGAGGAGCTTGAGGTGGCACACAAGCAACTTCAAGATTTGAAGACACACTCCGGAAGCAACGGAGCTGTGAGTTCTGCGAAAGAAGATACAAAGACGAACTCCGAGGAGGTGGCATCAGATCCGAAAGCCTCCAGTGAGACAGAGCCTGCTGCGCCAGCCAAAGCGAAGGGCAAAGGCAAGAAAGGTCCAGGCCCTCCTCCCGTCAGCCAAGACGCAACCCAGCCTGAAGCAACCACAGAGCCTGGCAAGGATCAGGCTGCCGGTGAGGTGTCAGAAACACCTCCTCCAGCTGCCAAGGGCAAAGGAAAGGGGAAGAAGGGTCCTGGTCCACCGCCGCCTGCCCCCAGTGCGGCTGAGGATGGGGAGCCAGCTGCGTCTGATGCAGCAAAAGAGGATGGTGCAGATGCGCCAGCACTTCCCAAGGCCAAGGGCAAGGGCAAAAAAGGTCCCGGCCCCCCACCTGTGAGCCAGCCCGCAGCCGAGGAGGCGCCTGCAGCTGCTGAATCTGCGCCACAGGCCAGTGAAGAGTCACCTGCACCGAAGGCGAAAGGCAAAGGCAAGAAGGGGCCCGGTCCTCCGCCGCCCAGCGCTGCCAGCACTGCCAGTGCTCCTGCTGAAGCTGCCGCGGATGAAGCGGCTCCAGCGGCAAATCCCGCTCCCGGTAAGGGGAAAGGCAAGAAGGGGCCACCCATGCCAGGCGCAAAAGCCGGACAGGAGCCAGCTCCAGGTAATCCGGAGGAGAACACGCAAAGTGCTGAAGGCGCAGTCAAAGGGAAAGGAAAGCCTGCCGCCCCTCCGAAGGGTGGCCCAAAAGGGAAGGCCGGAGGTAAAGGCAAGGTGGCATTGCCTGATGTTGACCCTGGCCCGGAGCCTCCCAAGGACCTTGTGGGTAAGAAGTTCCACTGGACCAACGTCGCAGGAAACCGTTTTGCTGGTTCTATGTTCCAGCAGATTGTTGAGAACCTGAACCTCAGCAAGTCTGCTGAGCCACCAAACCTTCCAGCAGCTGAGACAGAGGCCAAGGAGCCCCATAATAAGGATTATAGTATATTGGGGTCTATATTGGGGTCCCCTTAATTTGTGAAACTACCCTATGGTCCCTGTTTAAGGACCCCTAACCCCTAAACCCTAAATAGTAGTTTCCATTTTATTTTCCATTATCCCTATATAACCCCAATATTACCCATTATCCCCCCATAATATAACCCTAATACTAATCCATTATATAATCCCTTTTCTAACTCCCTTTAAGGAGTTTAGACTATGGCTCATATGGTCCCTGTTTAAGGAGCCGACAGAGGCCGAGGCCAAGAAGCCGAAGCTGCCAAAGCTAAGCTCCGAGATGCTAACGAAGCTGACAGGTGGGGGGTTGTCCAAATTATGACTTTCGGGTATATCTTGGGATAATGGAAAAGAAAATGGAAACTGCTATTTTGGGTTATAGAGGGATTATAAGGTATATGGGTGGTTGTCAAAATTAAAAAGTTTATATAGTATATTGGGGATAGGGAATATACCCTTTTTGGGTCCCTATTATAGTACGGCACATAATCTTTGGGGTACCCAAAAACATAATTTTGAAAACCACCCAGGTGTGTTCTTCAAGAAGAAAGAAGACCCGGCCGAGTCAGAAGGAAAAGAGCAAAAGGAGGCCAAGAAAAAGACCGTGGCTCAGTGCCTGAATTCAAAGAAGAGTCAGAATGTGGAGATCTTCTTGAACGGCTGCGGGATCAACATCGATCACGTGCGCCGATGTGTTCTAGATTTAGACACCTCAGACAAATCGTTGAGTGTCGGGCCCTTAGTTTCAGAAAGAGGCACTGTGCAAAGCATCAGCCAAGAGGCCAGAGGGCTTTGTTGCCTGGGAGAACCTGAGAGTTCTTGAGAGCCGAGGCTGAGCATTTGGAGAAGGTCATAGAGCTTTTCCCTAAGGGCGATGAGTTGCAAGAGTTGATGGACTTCAAGAAGACCAACGATCCTGCAGTGCTTCCCTGGGCCCGGGCTGAGGAGTTCCTCATCCAGCTGGTAGACATCTCCGACTTTAAGGTCAGAGCCGAGTGTTGCCTGACAAGGTCCATGTTTGCCTCTGAGTGCGATGAGGTGGCCTCGGATCTCACGACGCTGCATCAGGCGTTGACAGCTTCCTGCAACTGCGAGCACTTGCGCAAGATCTTTGCCGTGGTCATGCAGATTGGGAACTACCTGAACCATGGGACCAACAAAGGCGCTCAACGTGGATTTTCGCTTGACACTCTTCCACTACTCAGCCGGGTAGAGGGCTTTGAAGGCAAGGCATATTCGCTGCTACGCTTCATAATGGATGAAGTTGAGCCGGACGTGTGCAGGGGAGCTCTACAAGAGCTTGCGCTCTGCGATGCAGCTTCCAAATTGGACTTCGATGAGTCAGTACGGCGGCTTTCCGAGACGGAAAAGAGACTGGCGGCCCTGGAAGAGGCTTTGGGACCTCCAGATGCTCCGGGAGATGGTGAGGCCGAAGGCGAGGTGGACAAGCCAAGCAAATTTGGTGGTCACTTTGAAGCTGTCATGCGTGCTTTTCTGGCAGAGTCCAAGCTTCGCGTTTCGAAGTTGCGGCAGCAGGCAGAGGAGGCGCCTGTCTCCAAATGGAAAGGTAGCTCCCAGACGGGAGTAACATCTGTAGGTGTTGGAGCTAGCAACGGGCCGTGGTCAATCCACGCTGCTTGTTTAGGCATTTGGAACCGGCGCTTGGAAAGCCAGACGGTTGTTCCCTACAGTTTCTTTCCAAAGGTAGGCCAGGCAATGAGACTCAGTAAGATGCGTAACTCTCGGCTTCCGATGTGATCACCTAGAAAAGTATGGCAAAAGTCAGCTGCCCAGTGCGGATCCAACATGTTGTGTTTGCCGTAGTTCTCTAAGGTATCAGGCTCCAAAGGATGAGAGTCTTTGATAATGTGCTGTAGCTTTGATTGTGCTCGCTTTAACGAATCTCGACAGGTCGAAATCTAAAAAGACAGGTACATGAGTAGGAAAAAAGGAGAAAGGGGAGTGGCGCTATGCTCTGGCAGGTGCAGGACCTGAGCAAGCAGTGCTGTGACCTTTTCGCAGAGAAGCCGCGAACACCAGCGCCTGAGACTCTTGGCAAGCTGGCGGGCTTTCGCAAGGACGGGGCCTGCACGGCATCGCTTCGATAGTAAGGTTTTCAAATGTTTTCAAGATATCCCCCGCTCTGCTTGTGCTTGCTGCAGGACATGGAAGCGGCCACCCGAGCAAATCTCCTGTACAAGGACCTCTTCACAGTGAGAAGGGAATCAGATACATGTTGCCCTTCTTCAGGCCAAGATGGACAGTCGGAAGAAAAAGGAGCAGGCGAAGGCTCAGAAGACCTCAGCGCTTGAGGTGGGACCAGCTTGGATTTGCTGAAATGCTTTTGTTGCCTGTCAATGCAGGTCAAGCAGTCTCCGCTTTCCACAGTGGAGACCGCGAAGTCAGAAGGCGCCAAGTCGCACGAGGCGCCTTTGGAAGCAGCATCTCCGCCAAAGATGAAGACGATGCACGCATCCGACTCAGAAAAATTCAGGTGGCCCTCAGTAGTGTGGCTCCACCTTTGCACTTGAAACCCAGAGGTGAAGATTCCGGAGAGGCCTCCCTGCGTGATTCATGCCTCGCGTGGCCCGGCGGTATCTTCCAGTCTCCTCAAGGAGGCTGCACCCAATTTGGAAAAAAGCCCTTGCTGACCAGTTGCTTTTTTCACCTGGGGCAAGGCCTTGGTCTTGGCCACCAGTGCCACTTCCAACGGGGGTTTAGGCCTGGTCGTTTCAACCATCTTGGGTAGTCACCCTGGCATCATCCATGGACAGGCAGGTTGAGCGTGGGACCAGCAGGAGGCCGCCAAACTCTCGGTTCCCTCGAAAGCATGGCTGCTGGCCCAGAGAACACTTGCTTTGATTGAATGCATGAAGTGGTTTTGAGTTGCATGCCCTGTGCTTCCATAGCTGAGGGGCGTGCAACCATGGGAAATCCGATGGGGAATCTTGCGGGCCGACGGACGTTGGACTCTTCTTTGGAGGGGCTATCTGGAGTGCTCAACCATCTGCGTTCGAGCCTGGGGGAGAGCCAAACAACACAAGCTGCCAACAAGGCCTCTAGCAACGCGGATGATCGGCAGGCTGCCAGCCAGGCTTCTGCCAGCCAGGCTTCTGTTAGCCAGGCTTCTGTTAGCCAGGCTTCTGCAAGCCAGGCTGTAAGTCACGCGGCTCCTGAGGCTGCTGGTGAGGCCGCACCTGCTGCCACCCAGGTGCCTCCCAGCAAAGCAGCACCGAGCCAGGTGGTGACACCCCCGGCTGTTGTGACACCCCCGGCTGTCGAGAAAGGCCAACAAAGTATTCAGCCGGCAGACAAAGTTGGCCATCAAATCAATCAGCCGCCGCCGACACGCGAGAAGCTGAAAGTGCCGACCCGCGCTGGTTTGAGTGCCGAGCCGTGGCAAAACTGAACATGCTGTGCATGCTTGTCCGAGTTTTTTCTGCACCCAACTGACCCTACATGAGGAGGAGGCATGGAGAGAGTCATGCAGAAAAATACCAGAACTGCAAGCTAAGCCAGTGCAGCAAGTTGACAATTACCATAGCAGCAGAGGTCTTTCTGAGAGAAGCAACGCAAAGAAGGGATTCATCGTTTCCGGAGCCAGCTGAAGCCAAGGACTTCCTGAAAATCTCCACCTCTGGGCGCGTCAGCCTCGGACCACGCAGTCAGGCTGCACTCGCCGCAGCGCAAGCGGCAGAGGAAGCTCAGGCGGAGGGATGAGTACGAAAGCTAGCCTGATGGATTACAAGCTGAACCCTATGTAGGTGATTTAGGCAGCTGAATACCCGTAAGCAGAGCCCTTCAGCGCGAGCAGCTCTGAACGAAGAGATGTACAGGCAGCCAAAGAAGCCGCGGAGCGATTGGAGGAAAAGGAACGGAACAGCTTAGCTCAGAAGGCTCGGCAGGCGGGAGCTGCACAGAGCTGCAAAGAAGGCTTTTCCTGCTTGCTTTGCTCATGCTTGCTTTGAAGGAGCGCAAGTCTCACGGCGTGCCTCTTCAACGTGTGGACCCTGTCCTGGACCCGATGGATGCGGCGCTTCCTCCTCCGGAAGAGCCTCGCCCAAGCTTGGCTGAACAATTCCGGAAGGCGAGCTCCGGCTTGTTAGAAGCCGTGTATGCTGTGTCTGAAAGGTGCATTGTCTTTTTGAATCCGTGAAGGCGAAGGCGAAGAGTCAACCAAGATGATGCCTTAACTCGTGACAGGCAGGAAGACAGTAACATTTGTTTTGCTGACACGTGCTTACTTCGATTGCGCTGCTTTGCGGCGGTTTTAAGGTAGTCTGTGTTTAGCACAGGTGTTTTCCCACATCTGCCAAAGCGGCGTTTGCACGAGCCGAATGCGAGATAGTTGCCACATGTTTCCATTCTGCTTGCTGCTAAGCGTGTGACAGGGCGTGACACGTGCAAGCCAGCTTGGCAGACCAGCCAAGTTAACGAACTGCCCGTCCAGTCTGCGGCGGATCGTTTCACTAGACCCCTCGGAACCTAGGCGAGGGATCACAACATGGGTTCTTCGATACTGCAGCTGCAGACCAATCAGACTCTGCTTGGTGCATGTCTTTCGGTTGAGTTTCTTTGCTGCGACCAGCGCGCGAAGTTTTGGTTCAAGGCTCAAGTGAAAAACAAAAAATGCACCACGCAGCTATCCGGCTAAGTGAGTCTACGCCTATTGGTCTGTCTCAAAGAGCAATGGCATGGATGCGACAGCCTTGGCAAAATTTCAGCCGGAGCTGGACCTGTGGTGCGCTGAGGAGTGGGAGCAAAACCTGCGGGAGAAGCTGTTTGCAAAGGTTCCGGGCCTCTGCGTTCTGGACCTGCTGGAGACCAACATCCTCTCTTATTCTCAGGGTGACTGGGGTCTCATCGAAAGAGATTTGCTTGCAGCTTTCTCAGAGGAGTTGGCATGGCTCATTCTGGAGTGCTTCAAGGACGAAGTTCAGACCTGCTTGGCAGTTCGCAGGGAGTTGATCAATTTCAAGAAGCTCTGTTTGCATCTCTGGCAGACCGCAACTGGCTTCGAAAAGGACCTTCGGCAACTCACGAGTTTCTTTTTCTGCAGGGTCGCTGATGAGACGCCTTCAAGCGAATCATCCCATGATGAATCCCGGCGGCAGTCCTACATCACAATCTCGAACTCGCTAAGTGAGTGTCGTGGTGCCGTGGCCGCTGTTTTTGATGCAAGGCACTTCAGCAAAGCTATTTGTGCCTTGCCACGCCATCCTGCCAGTGGGGTCCCATGGAAATTCGAAGCTTTGCCGGAGAGTCTTGAACTTTGGAAGCCATTGGAGCAAGCGCGCTACTTCCTTGAGAACTACAAGGCTTTCGATGCATACTTCGCAGCGATGCACGGGGAGAGCACCGAAACGGCTGTTAAGCCGGCCAAGTCACAGAGGCCTTCCTCACGCTCAAAGCTCTGCACCCTCGACCCCTTCCTGGAATCTCTTCCCTTTTTAGTTGTCTTCTTCCCCATCTATGCTAACCTGAGTCTTCTCTTTGTACCATTCAGGGCATGGCGCTCGGAGCGGGACTTGGTCGAATCAGATCTAGGCACCTGGACTGGAGCAGAGGAGGAAGCCTTGAATGACTTTGCGAGAGGCTCCTCCGGGCTTCGGAGGCTTCTAGAAGCAGTGGAGGCAAGGAAATCAGACGCAGATTGTCAGCCCCTCTCAGCAGACCTCCAGACTCCTCAGGTAACAGGGCTACAGCTGCCATCGCTGGGGACTGTGGTTTGAAGTCAACACCCCTGATAGTCAGTCAGCTTAGCAAATTAAGGAATGCCAGACGGTATCTGGAGCTCGTGCTGATCGCTCGTGGAGCTGCTAAGGTGCCAACCTGTGCTAGCAGTGTTTCCCTCTGCTGTGATCGGGTCCAGGCGACTGGGCTCAAGGGCGCTCTACGTCGATACATCGCAGCAGTTCGACAGGCAAGCTGCCCTGCTGAAGTCTGGGTGGTAAGCTTCTCTGGAAGCATGCAGCAGGTCGAAGAGCAGGCTTTGGCCCTCGAGTGCCGACTGCGGGTGCCAACCTTTGCTATTGCACAGATACAGACCAAATGCGTATCCCTGTCAGACTCCGCGCCTCTATGCTCCCCCTGTTCTTTTTGCAAGTTGCAAGAGACTTCCCGACCAAGAAACGGTAGCATCTTCGAACGGCAGGTCATCCCTCGTTGAGGTTGTGAGGTCGCGGATTCTGTTTTGACGATCTCAGGTGCTCCTTGGGAAGGACGGGTACACGGCGACACCGCGCGAAGCTTGAACTGTGCCCAGCTGCTGGCACCGGTGCTATCTCTACAGCCCAGGGCGGAGTCCCTGAGCGGCACCGCTCTGTCTGCCGGGCTACATCTACATGCCTCGCGTCACTCACTCTGGAGCCTTTTATTGACAGAAGGCTATGAGGAATGCCTTCACGCGCTTGAGGCCATTTGCTGGTGCTTAGAGGGATGCTCTCTGCCAGGGTCCCCAGCAGGGAACAGCACCCTAACCATGATGTGTCTCTTTATGTGTATGTGACAAGGTCACGTCTGAGCTGCTTCGCTGGCTTGATCCCATTGCAGACATGCGAAACGTGTCTGCAAGCTTTCATGAGTTCATGCGGCATTCAACAGTGTAGCTGGAAGCTTCATGCTGCAGCCCAGGAAGCACTGCCTCAAGGCTCTTCGTGCGCCCGATTTGGAATCATGCTTGGTTCACGGTTATTCGTAAGTCTTAGGATGTCTTAGGTCTCTGGGGCACGTGGTGCTGCCGCCTTTGTACCCCGAGGCAGGGGAGTGTGGGCATCGATTGCCGAGATAAGCCCGAGCCCTGCAGGTTTCCCCGACGTGTTGGCCAGGCTAGCCAGTTTACAGCTTGCAAGTCGCCAGACCGGCAGTTTGCAGTCTGCACAGTGTTGGCGAGCAAGCTGACCCAGCCGAGAAAGTGCAGTCCGTAAACTGCATGTCTGGCAAGTTGCTGGGTGGCGAAGCTCTAAGAAAGACTCGCGTACTCCGCCTTTCTGATCTGCAGGCACCGTGCTGCTCGAGGCGGATACCGCGAGGCACGCCGCTGGGTGTTTGTGAGAATGGATTCGTCAGAGCAGAGCCAGGCCATGCTCTCCGAGCTGACCCGTGTGGGCTGGCCAAAGTCGGCCCGCCTCGGCGAGGAGGCACAGCTGGCACAGCTGGCACAGCTTCTCCAAGTTCTGCGAATCAATTCCGCATGAGATTCTCCGAGAGGAGAAGCGTCTCGATGCTTGCCAAACGTGTTCGGCGCGTAGCTCAGAGTCTTCTCTGCGCAGGGGCCTGCCTGCTGAGACTTCCAGAGGTCAGATTGTCAAAGTTGTGGCTTCATAGGGGCCAATGCCTCGTATGCGAAACCAAGCTACGGTCAGAAGGGTTTCGGACTCAGCCGAAAAAAATCGTTTCAGCTGCTTGAGGAAGCGCAATACTGTCAGGCGATGTCCATACGGTGGCACGAGATGCAGCAAGAGTTTCTGCGCCCACGAATCGAGATGTGCTTCAGGGCTTTGCAATGTAATTTGAGGACGCATCTAGCGGGCAAGCTTTGTTAGCATCTCGAGAGGTGTTGTGTGCGAGCAGTGGTCCTGCGAGCAATGCAACTTGCTGCGTGGTGATGGCGAAGATGCGCCATGACAGCATGATCAGCATGCGGGTCTGGACTGGTCGCTTGTGGCTTAGACTTAGACTGGCTGCTACTTTCATATTCTCATCTTGCAAAGACAGGTCTGGCAGATAGCATCGCAGCGCGGACCGTCCGTGGTCTTCTTGGACTTTGACCGCACGCTCTGCACGACCAAGGCTTGCAATGAGCGTCTGAGACAAAGTGTTAACATATTGCATAAGCCCAGGCTGGAGCGTCCCCGCTCTCTGGGAATCATTCGCTTGACTCTGACCTGGCCCTTGCCTTGAGTATCCTTGAGTGCCTGGGTGAAGCTTGTTTTTCTCAGGAAGCCCGAAAGCTACCTTGGAAGCTGAGGTCGCTCTGTGCACCATGCATCCGAGCGTTTTCATCGTGACGCGCAACTCACGAAGCCAGGACTCTTTTGGTCTCTCGACCTCTTGACACATGACACTGGTTCCGCCTGGAAGGACATCGCAGCCTTTCTTCGGCAGCATGGAATACGGGCGCGCTTACCTGAGGCTGGTGCACGTGCTAAGCACGACACTTAGTGGAATCTTTGGTCATGCAGGAGCAGAGGGATGATCCGTCAGCTTCAGGCACTGCCGCAAGCTTCTTAACAATTGGACATGAGGATCTCGGCATCCTGCTTTTCTATGCACGGCGTTACCTCCATTTACTTGAAGCCATGGGTTGCAGGAACACTGCTGTCGTTTCTTTAGATGGTCATCTTTGTGTCAAAACACTTGAGCTGTGTGGGATCAGCCAAGCAGCAAGCAAACGTTATGCTCAGATGCAGCTGCCTATGCTCGTTTAGTTGATGCACGGAGCCCATAGCGCACAAAGGAGCCAGAAACTGTTTGGCAGCCAGCATATGTGCGGCATCAGCTAGGCAGAAGAAGCAGACAACAACATGAAAGGACAGTTCCGGCCTGGATCCATCACTACAAGGACTAAATAGTTCTACGGCAAAGCAGTTTGCAGACGGCCGCCATCATGGGCCAGTCTTCGTCTGGAGAGCCAAAGAGAGAGCTGCTCTATGCCGAGGAAGCGGAGTGTTTTGTCGAGTGATGCTCCTCTTAGTTGGCATCGCAGGATGGAGTCACAGTGATTGGCAGCACCTTCAGTACGGGTGGAGAGGAGGTAGCTCCGGAATGGTTTGGAATGGGTCCGCAAAGGCCACTGCTGTCCAACATCAGCCAGCCTAGCTCTCTAAGTCCAGCTGCCCTGCAAGTTTGGGCTTCGTGGGACCGGGGCCACAGATCAATCCCAAGGCTCGACACCCTACAGATGCAGGCGCCAGAACTCATGTCTTCCGAACAGGTCTATTGCACTCCTCAAGCTCAAAATAGGCTGTTCCTCGCCCAGTCATGATTGAAAGTCTTGACAGGGCTTCTGTGTGAATGCTTTGGGGTGCTGCCTGAGGCCACGCCTGCGGCAAATTCAAGGTGATTCTCATTTGACGGCCCGGTACTCTGCTTGCTCTTGGAAGTTCCAGGGGGCGGGGTGTTTGTCAGGTCTTCAATCGAAGCCCTCGCCCTGTCAACGTTTCACTAGGTCTGTGTCCCAATTTGGGGGTTTCCCAAAAACCATAATAAGGGCCATAGTATTTTGGTCTCTATATTGGGGTCCCCCGATTTTGGGAAACTACCATTTGTTCTTGCCTACAGAGCTGCTGGATGCTGCTATCCAGCTAGGAGGAATTGAAGGAAAGCACTTCCTCCAGCCGGGGCGCGTTACGAGGTCGCTGGAAGTCACAGCATGCGCAGCATTGTTGCAGCATTTGGTAGCCAGGTTCTTGCTACCAGAGGGAGAAGCGACTCTCTTCATGACTGATCCAAGCACGGGGATTTGCTTGCTCCGCGCTCAGAGGTTTTGGCTCCTTACATACTCTTGCTAAAAGTACCACAACATAGTAGTTTCCATTTTCCTTTCCACTATCCCAATATTGACCCATAGTAACCCATATTAACATAATATTAACCATTGAACTTTTAACGTGAAATACTGGCAAGGTGCGAGCTTCGCGGCCTGCCTGCAGGGGGGCAACCGCTTGAGGCTCATCGCTTCGAAAGGTGTTGAGCACCTTAAGCCTTAAGCTTCCTGCAGTTGCTTCTGTGTCAGGCAGTGCCCCGTGCCATTCTTCAGGAAGTTGGTGGAACTTTGTGTGCTTCGCTGGACTACTCCTTTCCAAGGATCACACCTCACCTGTCTGCCTGTCCATTGTATTGATGTCAAGCCCTTGTGCAGGATGGAGGATGCGCCAGATCCGTCCAAAAAGCTGTCGGAGAAGAAGCTGTCGACCTGTTCGACTGCGGAGGGTGCGGATCTCAGCTAGCTTACCGCGTCATTAAAAGCCATTGCCGCTGCCAGATGACAGTGAACACCAAGCCAGCCCTCGAACCATTGAGCTGGAAGAACAGCTGCTGGAGGCTGCATGGCTTCTGCCCAGCTGACTGGTTGTGAGTAGGGAGTGGAGGAACGAATAGTTGCCATTTCCTTTTTCAGGTCTCCATTCCCTACTACCAACCAGCAAGACGGTTCAACTGCTCCAAAACTGCTTTTTAAGAATCGCCAACCCGAGGCGCTCCAGTGCAACAACCAGTCCAGAGCACAAGAAATTCTGGCGGCTTGGCACTTTTTTGCTGGTGTTGCATCTCTGCCTGCCGGACGCTCACAGGGCCTCAAGCCATTCATGTTGACAACATCATGCAGCTTACAGAAGCGCTTGTGTCCTGCCTGTGGCGATGCATCCCAGGATCTGCTTCGAAATGCTGGATAGTGCACGGAAATGTGGCCATGCTGCATACTCTTTACAACTTGCAGCCCGCTGAGCAAGCTGGGCATGTGTGCATAGCTGTGTATAGCCTTGCGTTATGCGAATGAGCGCCTGTTGAGTCGCAGGCTTTACTGTGTTTTAGGAGAAGAGCAACAGCAATGTGAGCCTCATGACGGTTCCTCCATGAGGTGCAAAGCAGTACAATGAAGTCTTATGTGCAGACTCCTTGGCAGGCCTTCGCGGAAATGTTGAAGTCCGCAGCATCAAGCGCGAAGGCTTTGGCTCCAAGGCCTATCATGCCGACTTGAGATGAAAGTCTTCGAACACATAAGTCTTGATGGTTCGATTTTGAGCTCTTGCCTGCACGACAGCCTGCTGCAAGTGGTGCGCAGACCGCATGTGCTGCAGGCAGACTTCATCTTGCAGCAGCTCGCCATGAGTCATGATGGCGAGAAGGTGGGCCTCAAAATTGAGCAACGCCTTTCGCATGGACGTTACGTTGTAGCCTCTACTCGTAGAGCAGCTTCAAGGCCAGTGGCCTTTTCGTGGATGATGACATCAAGGACAGGGCATGTGGTTGTTCCGATGCAAATTTGGACACGGGACAAGCTTAGGAGCTGACGGATGATGCGCTGCAAGATGCGGTGGCCAGTGGTCAGCTTCAAAGACTGCTGCTCAACGGCAAGTAAACTGCTTGTCCGTGCAGTTCATGTACATGCTTGAAGGCCTGTGCTGCTTTTTGGACCTGGCAGGCTTTTCGTTCGCTCTGGTGGCAAGGAGTAAGGCTCAACAGAGAGCGGTGCAAAATGCAGCTGACGCGAGCTTTGTTGAAAGCAGCTGCGGTGTGCGCATTTGCCTGCGTGAATATTTTCATATTTGGGCTTACACACGCAAGAGGAGCCACAGAGGAAGCGCAATCACGCTTCTAGCGATGACCTCGAAGTTGATCCTGTAAAGCTTATGAACTTTGATGATGATGTTGACGTTCCATGGTGGTGTCTGTTTGCAAGGGTTTCAGTTCGTTAACAAGCGCAGTGCAAGGTGGTCTTTAACTCCCAACTGCTTGATCGGCAGCTCGTTTGTGATGAAGTGGATGGCGCTGCGACCAAGCGGCCTTTCCTGTGTGGCATGCAGGCCTGCCTGCGGCAGCCACTCCCAAACTTAGCTTCAGTTCTGATCAGGAGATGTCAGCTGGAACGTTGCGCGAGAAGGGCAACAAGCTCTTCGAGGCTGGCGTGCTTGCACAAGTCCCTGCATTCTCTTCATGCGAAGCGCCTTCAGGTGCAGCAATTCGCTGACGCAGCGGAATGCTATTCGGAGGACTGACAGTACTCAGTACTGGCTCTTGCGTATTAAGTATTACTACCATTATTATTGTCATTATCGTTATTATTTCTGCTAATACTATAAGTATTATTGGTACTATCATTCTATTACTAACCCTTAAACCCTTTTATGAGTCTGCCAGGCGCTGGCAAAGATCAAGTCCGACTTGGACAGCGCCGCTGCTAAGGCGCAAACGTTGGATTTGCAAGCATTAGTCTATAATCCCCTTTAAGTAGATAGAACATGGGGTATATGGGGATCTTATTGATTCTTATTGTAATATACCCAAAGCTATATTCAATCTACTTAAGAGGGAATAGTCTTTGTTCCTCAAGTTTCTGGATGAGAAATTCTAGAAACAGATAGATGGAGGGTGGATGGTTCAGACCCTCAACACCAACATTTGTTTCACGAGAAGCACTAAAAAGAACCGTTGTGGAAGGTACATGTGCACGGGGGGAGCATCCACTCATCCCCCTGTAGCACAAAAACAAATGTTGGATCTGAACCAAGTTGTTGTTTTGGTCTAGCGCAGAGAAGTAAATGAAATGCTCTTGTGCTTCCGGAAGTGACATGCCAGCTGCCAGGATTTACACACACCTGCCTGGCACCTGGTAAGTGCCAGTTTGGTGCTGTTGACGAGGAAGCTGCCCCGTCAGGTCCGGCTGAACTTGGCTGTCAGTTTGCTTCGTTCGGGGACACGTCTGGAAGAGGTTGGTATGGGTGAAGAGGCTCCACCTTTGCAGGTTCGGAGGGTGCTCGGACTGAGGTTGATGAACTTTGCAGCGAAGTCCTGGCTTCAGAGCCTTCCAACGCCAAGGACGCGACTGGTGACAAATTTTGTTGGAGTAATCTTATCATTGCAGAGTCTAGGGGCTAGACAGGCGCTGTTCCGGCGAGGCTGCGCGCGGCAGCTCATGTCCAGTTCGCACAATGCTCAGCTGGAGCATCTCAGTCTACTGCATGTATGAAAGTCTCGGTAAACACGTGCCGCTCACATAGCCAACTACCCCTAAGCCTACCGACCTGACAAAGACACCCAAAGACTCCAAGTCTTGAGATGATCAGCAAATGCGGTACTGCAATGCAGTGTACCATAAATGCCAGAAACCTCGTGCTCTGAAACTTAAACACACTGGATAACCCTAGCGATTTTGGTTCAAGGCGAATTTGCTTAGCATTTCCTTTGCGCCCACTTCGTTGTGCCCTTGTGACGACATGGGTTTGGGGATATTAGGAGCTCAGACGGCCTATAGCTCAAGTGGGATTCACACCCCTTGGAAGTCAGTCAGGGTCTTCGCCTCAGAGATCTTACGTTTTGTGGGCGTTCTCTCAGCGGCCCAGGGCAGATGCGGGGCGGGCACTGCTCCAAGCTGCCAAGTGCGGACCTCAGAGAGAGAGAGATTCGTTGCAAGCCTGGGATTCTTTCAAAATGAGGTTAGCCCTATGAATTCTAGCAGCATATGGACAGGAAGAGTAGATTCCCGAGTCCCGTTTAAAGGATTCTATATACGCTAGATTGCAAACCTCCCCCTGTGACCTGAGTGGTCAGTTGCATAGTTGAAGGTTCAGGGGCACTTTTTAAGTAGCTCAATAATCCCTATTTAACCCTTCCTAATCCCCTGACTGACCCCTTTAGTTAGTCCCCCTGACCCTAAACCCTAAATGCCGTAGTAGTTTCCATTTTCTTTTCCACTATCACTATTAACCTCTGAGCAGATGCTTACCCTCCAAGTAAGGAGTAACTTATTGGTTGTGTCCATTTTCTTTTCCATTTGATTCTCGAGTATTAGGATAATGTCCCTAGATCCTAAACAGTAGTTTCCATTTTCTTTTCCAGTGATCCTAAATATAACCCCAAGATATACATTGTAATCCTTATATAAACCCTACACATATGAACCAAATATTCATTGATCCTATATAACCCCAATATAGTATACTATAATGTACTACTTATTGATTGTTTCCGTTCTCTTTTGAATTTTCCTACATAATCCTAAACCCTAAACCCTGAATATAACCCAAGTTAAGGAAGGACTACACGCAAGCTGCGAAGCTGGAACCGCAGAATCGTCAGGCGCAGAGTTCCTTCTGCCTTCCATCAATGCCCAGTAGACCCTAGGGGTAATATAGGGATTATATATGGTAATATAGGGGAATATAGGGATTACACAGTAATATAAGGGAATAAAGGGATTACATAGTAATATAGGGGGAATATATAGGGATAATGGAAAAGAACATGGAAACTACTACAGGTTTCTCAGGATTCGGGGGTCCCACTTGGGTTAATGTAAGCATGCTGTTATTTTGAGGGTATGTGTGCAAGTAATTGGCACCTGCACGTTGAGCAACCCTGCAGATCAAAGACAAGCCAGGTCCGCCTGGCATTGAAGGAGATCGCTGAGGCTAGGCTGGTGGCGTTTTCTTGGGTATATGGTAGTTTCCCAAAACAAGGGGACCCCAATATAGACCCCAAAATTCTATAGCCCTTATTATGGGGACCCCCAAAAGGGTACCCCTAATTTTGGGAAACCCCCATATAGTCAAAGATGGTTGCTTGAACGGGTTTGCTGATGATCCCCAGGCTCTGGCAGACATGCCAAAGGAAGACCCCGGCCTCTTCGGGGTCAGGCACATTTCGTAGTTTCCCAAATAGGGGTACCCTCTTAAGGGGTCCCTGTAATAAGGACTATAGTATTTTTGGGTCTATATTGGGGTCCCCTTATTTTGGGAAACTACCATTTTGGCCAAGAGGCTCACGGGAGAAACCAGAGCTTGAACAAGGCAGCTTTATGGCGACAGACCAGCAACAGCTCCACCTGAGCCTCTTCCGGCAAAGTTCCCAGGGCTACCTGTCCGCCCCTGTGTGAGCCCAATACTGTTTGCATTTAAGGAGTGCTCTGTCTGCAGCCACGTTGGCCACAGCTCTTGCGGCAAGCCAGCCCCCTGGATACCCAGTCTATTGAGACGTTGCTCTAGCGCAAAGCACAACACGGGTTTAGGGACAGTACCGGGGTGTTTGTTTTGGGATACCTTTAAACAGGGCTCATAGGGGGTATAGAGGGTTATGAATTCTGCAGCTTGAGCTCTGTCGACATGGGGGGCCTGGAACTTCAGAGCCAGCTCAGCACGCTTTTTGTCCTTTAGTTTTCCGTGATGCATGTTCCTTAAAGGCAACGCAGCATGTATTCTGCTTGGGAAGGGCTTGTGGCCCGAAACTCTGAAAAAGAAGGCTCGCAGGGTGGGCTGAAAAGCCCCAATTTTCAGCTGGGACAAAAAAGGAAAGCGAGATGCTTTTGCTGGGGCTTTACTGTGACATATTCTGATTAACAACTTGGCGCGAGGCAGAATGGTGCAACAAACGAGATATTTACGCCACAAGGTGATTTCATAAGAGGGAGTCCTGACAGGCCTTGGGGTAGATGCAAGCCTTTGCAGGCCTCAACATTTGTTCAATCCAAGAGTGGTGACTGAGGAAGTCTTGGAATGAAGACAGAGCCCGGTGGCTTGGGGTATCAGAGGCAGAGGCGTGCGTGGGCATTAGTTCTGGCAATCGGGGAAGAACAACTAACTGCCGCATGAAACGTTGCAGGCTGTCTAGTTACAGCTATCTACTAGCCCAGACAATTAAGGACGATGCAGCATTGCATGCCACAGGTGGCAACAGAGCCCGCGGACTTTGAGGCAAAGTGGCTGTGACAGATTCCTTGCGATCAAGATGGCTTCGTTGTGCGTTGAAAACTACGATGACTTGACTTGGAGGAGGATGGCTCGCTTATGCAGGCCCCTTGCCCCACGCAACGCAGCTGTGCAGAGATAGCAGGCTTACAAGATGCGCCTCACTCGTTTTTGTGATTACGCCTGTGAAGGTGATTTTAGAGTCCCGCCGCCGTCCACCTGAGGAGAAAATTCGGCTGCTGGAACATGTGCACAGCGGTTTGGACAGAACCATAAGTCAACAGAATGAACATCAGACTTTGACAGGATGTGGACTTGAGCGACCTCAGCGAAGACGAGCGCGAGCAGCTGGAGGACTTCCATTCTCGTGTAACTCAGTTGGGGGGACCTGTGAACTTCACCGCGACATCAGTACTTGGCGTGGACAGCAACTCTCGAAGGACTGTTTGGACTCCACTGAGAAGCCATACCCGCAGCCAAAGCGACCTTTGGCGTTGCCGCAGGCAAGCAGAACCCACCTCTGTGTGAGGTGGCGCCATGGTATCAGAACCCCCAAGCTAGAAGCTAGCCAGCTACGGGCATGTTGAACGCTGCTGAAGTTTCGGTGACCCACGAAAGTTAGCTGCTTGTTCATCTGGAATGCTTAAAGAGGTGGTGAGATGTGCAGAAGAGCTGTGGGAAGATGCCGCGACCTCGCCAACTGAGCAACCGTCACCAGCACAAGAACATGGCAGCTCATGCCCATCTAGATTTCTCGCAGGTCTAAGCTACAG